AGAATAGAACTTCTTCGTAGGGTTTTCATGTCAGTAATCTTTACAGAAGGAGAAGGCCAGGTCTTTTTCCCGTAGCACCACTGGATGGGTTTGAACCACCAACCTTTAGGTTAGCAGTCAAGTACAAACTGTTTGCGCCACCCAGGGGCCTGTTTGCTCTAACGTAGTACTGGATTATAAGATGAGAACAGATTCTTAAAACAAGACCTCTTTTCCACACTGATTGTGCCAGAAACACAGCAAGAGCCTTCGGGCCATGGTCATGTTATCGTCTACCTGCATTCTGAGCACACTTCCGTGAAAACCTTGGCAAAGGTCACTGGCCTCCCAGGTAGGACCTGTCCCAGTGACGCCGGAGGTCAGTCTCCTAATTAAAGGGGATACTTAGCTGAGTGCGTGAGGGGTAACCTCGGGCGTTAAAATAAAGCGTTTCCCAATGACATGAGGGATCAAATTCCTTGGTAAAATTAGGCTGATTAAATTGATCCCTGCGCTTAAGGTTTCTGTAGTTCGAAGTTAGTGCAGCATTCGGATCGGCCTGTAGAGGCAGGAGCAGCCCTGTCCATGGTTTTTAAATTACATGTTTGATTGCTTGTGACATCATTGCAAAATGTGCCAGCCCAGTGAAGCCTCGCTTTCCACTAGCCTGGGGGAAAATATGACAGATATTTAATTAAACTGCTCAGAGATTAGGCAGAAGGCTCATCGACGGATCTGGGGCTGAGTCTCCTTATTAGAGAGTTAGGAAGTTTCCTGGGGTGCATCCGTAATGTTGAGAAGGTTCCCCAAGCCAGAGGAAGCCTGGGGCCTGTGTTGTGTCAGCGTTTGAAGCCAGTGCTGACCATCTTGAGGAAAATGCGCGCTGATAACCACGGGTATGACAAAGCCACTGAGGAGCTCACCTTGCAGCTTCAAATGTGAAATAACAAAGCTGCTTACACCTGACCCACGTTCCTACAGCTGAGATGACTTATGGGAGGAGGGCTGGTTGGGCAGATCTCTGAAAAGAACAAGTATAGGCAGTGATGGAGCTGGGCTGTGAAGAGGGCCTGAATTCCCTGTGGAGCCGTAGCAAAAAATACCACAAGTGAGTGGCTTTAAAGAAGAGAAATTTATGTTCTCACAGTTCTGGAGTCTGGGAGTCCAAATTCAGGGTGTTGGCTGTAAGGGAGAGTCTTTCTTTGTCTCTTTCAGCTTCTAGTAGCCACCAGCAATCCTTGGTGTTCCTGGGCTTGTGACTGTCTGTCTCTGTCTTCACGTGGTGACCATCTTCCCCTGCTGGTCTGTGTCTGCTCTGCTCTGTTTATACTCAGAAGCGATCAGCATTAGGACCTGCTCTACTCTGGGTGTTCCCCTAACATAACAGAGAAAACCCTCTTTCCAAACAGGGTCACGTTTACAGGCACAAGGGTTAGGACTTCAACATAACTGTCTGGGGACACAATTAATCCATCGCTTAGAGGATCCAGCCTCACAGAAGGGGAAGGGCGGAGGTCTGCAACACATGACACAGGAAGAAAATCGCACAAGAACGTAGGCCGCCTGTCAGATGGCCCAGGTGACCTAAATAGGACTCAGGTCACCTCCGTTGCCTCAACAGCTCATGTTGTTGTTGTTGTCAGGTGCCGTCGAGACAGTTTTGACTCATCGCAACCCCGTGCACAACAGAATGAAACACTGCCCCGTCCTGCGCCATCCCCACAATTTGTTATGCTTGAGCCCGTTGTTGCAGCCACTGTGTCAGTCCATCTCCTTGCGGATCTTCCTCTTTTTCATGGACCCTCTACCAAGCATGATTTCCTTCTCCAGGAACTGGTCTTTCCTGATAACATGTCCAACGTAGGTGAAACGAAGTCTCACCATCCTCACTTCTAAGGAGCATTCTGGCTGTACTTCTTCCAAGACAGATTTGTTTCTTCTTCTGGCAGTCCATGGTATGTTCAATATTCTTCGTCAACACCACAATTCAAAGGCATCAATTCTTCTTCAGTCTTCCTTATTCATTGTCCAGCTTTCACATGCATATGAGGCGATTGAAAACACCATGGCTTGGGTCAGGCCACCGTAGTCCTCAAAGTGACATCTTTGTTTTTTAACACTTTAAAGAGGTCTTTTGCAGTAATTTGCCCAGTGCAATACATCCTTTGATTTCCTGACTGCTGCTTCCATGGATGTTGATTGTGTAAAATGAAATCCTTGACAACTTCACTCTTTTCTCTGTTTATCATGATCTTGTTTATTGGTCCAGTTGTGAGGATTTTTGTTTTCTTTCTTTTCCTATGTAATCCATACAGTAAGTGCTTCAGGTCCTCTTCACTTTCAGCAAGCAAGATTGTGTCATCTGCATAACACAGGTTGTCCTCCAAGCCTGATGCTGCATGCTTCTATAAGGTCCAGCTTCTTGGATTATTTGCTCAGCATACAGGTTGAATAAGTATGGTGAAAGGATACAACCTTGACACACACCTTTCCTGATTTTAAACCATGCACTATCCCCTTGTTCTGTTCAAACAACTGCCTCTTGGTCTATGTACAGATTCTGCATGAGCACAATTAAGTGTTCTGGAATTTCCATTCTTTGCAATGTTATCCGTAATTTGTTATGATCCATGCAGTCGAGTGCCTTTGCATAGTCAATAAAACACGAGTAAATATCTGTTTTAGTTATCTAGTGCTGCTATAACAGAAATACCATAAGTGAATGGTTTTAAGAAAGAGAAATTTATTCTCTCAGTCTAGGAGGCTAGAAGTCCTAATTCAGGGCATCAGCTCTAGGGGAAGTCTTTCTCTGTCAGTTCTGGGGGAAGGTCCTTGTCATCAATCTTTTCCTGCTCTAGGAGATTCTCAGCACAGGGACCAAAGGATGCACTCTGCTTCTAGCACTTTTTTCTTGGTGGTAGGAGGTCTATATCTCTCTTTGCTCAATTTTCTCTTTTATATCTCGAGATTGACTCAAGATATAACCTAATCCTGTAGATTGAGTCTTTCCTCATTCTAATCCTGCTTCATTAACATCATAGAAGTTAGGATTTACAACACAGGATAATCACATCGGATCACAAAATGAAGGACAACCACATAATACCAGGAATCATGGCCTAGCCAAGTTGACACATATTTTTGGGGGGACACTATTCAATCCATGACAACATCTTTCTGGTATTCTCTGCTTTCAGCCAAGATCTCTCACATCCGTAATGATATCCCTCATTCCATGCCTTCTGAATCTGGCTTGAATTTCTAGCAGTTCCCTGTCCACGTATTGCTGCAACCACTTTTGAATGATCTCCAGTAATATTTTACTTGTGTGTCATATTAATGATATTATTCAATAATTTCTACATTCTGTTGGATCACCTTTCTTTGGAATGGGCACAAATATGGAGCTCTTCCAGTCCATTGGGCAGGTAGCTGTCTTCCAAATGTCTTGGCATAGACAGTGAGGGCCTCCAAAGTTGTATCCGTTCGTTGAAACATCTCAGTTGGTATTCAGTAAATTCCTGAAGCCCTGTTTTTTGCCAATGCCTTCAGTGTAGCTTGGACTTCTTCCTTCAGTACCATTGGCTCTTGATCATTTGCTGCCTCCTGAAATGGTTGAACAGAGACCAATTCTTTTTGGTACTATGACTCTGTTTACTCTTTCCATGTTTTTTTGATGCTTCCTGAGTCGTTCAATATATTGTCCATAGAGTCCTTCAGTATCGTAACTTGAGACTTGAATTTTTTTCTTCACTTCTTTCAGCTTCAGAAATGCTGAGTGTGTTCTTCTCTTTTGGTTTTCTAACTCCAGGTCTTTGCATATTTCATTATAATAATTTTCTTTGTCTTCTCGAGCTGCCCTTTGAAATCTTCTGTTCAGCTCTTTTACTTCATTATTTATTCCATTCGCTTTAGCTACACTATGTTCAAGAGCAAGTTTCAGAGTCTCTTCTGACATCCATTTTGGTCTTTTCTTTCTTTTCTGTCTTTTTAATGACCTTTTGCTTTCTTTATATGTGATTCCTTGATGTCATTCTACAATTCTTCTGGTCTTCAGTCATTAGTGTTCAAGTATCAAATCTATTCTTGAGATAGTCTCTAGATTCAGGTGGGATATACTTAAATTAGTACTTTGGCTCTCATGGACTTGTTCTAATTTTCTTCAGCTTTAACTTGAAATTGCATACGAGCAATTAATGGTCTATTCTGCAGTTGGCCCCTGGCCTCGTTCTGACTAATGATATTGAGCTTCTTCATTGTCTCTTCTACAGATGTAGTCGATTTGATTCCTGTGTATTCCATCTGGCGAGGTCCACGTGTATAATCAACAGTTCATAGCTCCCTAACTGTCAATAGGGGTGGTGAAATCCTTGAAATAAAGTTCTGTAAATTCCCCTCAAAGCAGTAGCTCTCACGTTAGCATGTTCTGAGGAGCTTTTAAAAATCCCAGATCAATAGAGTCAGGATTTCTGGATGCAGAGCTGGACACAGGTATTTTCATAAAGCTCTCCAGGTGGGTCTGGGAAGTCAGGGTTCCAGTCGCTGCCCTGGACTGCTTAAGGATCAAGCTATGTATGGGATCCGGTGAGAACTCAGGCTCTGAGATCTGACACACCTGGGCTCTGGTCCTGTCCCCACCCCTCATCAAATCTAAGGCCTTCGGCAGATGCTCAGCACCCCAGGCCCTGTGTCCTCATGAAAGAGTTGTGATGGAAATGTCCTGGCAGGTGTCTGAAGACTAAGTAAGGAAACCCACATCTGCCCAGCTTGTGGCCCGTGGTGACTCATGCTGACATGGTAGACAGTCTGTCCTCCTCCAGAACTTCCTCTGGGGCATCTGGAGCAGGGAGCAGGCAGGGGTTTCCTCTGCTGCGTTGGTTTTCCTCAGCATTCCTGGTGTGTCCCTGCACCACCCTGCCTCAGGGTCACCATGAGTGCAATCAACTGGACGGCACTGGTTTGGGCTTTCTGGGTGGGTGTCCAGGATAAACATGCTCAACCCTCCCTGCTCTCTCCTCCAGCTGCCACAGACGTGTCCTTCTCCTTTGACGTCGGGAACGGGCCAGTGGAGATCGTGGTGAGGGCGCCGTCCCCGCTCAACGACGACCAGTGGCACCGCGTCACCGCCGAGAGGAACGTCAAGCAGGCCAGCCTGCAGGTGGACCGGCTGCCGCCGCAGGTGCGCAAGGCCCCAACGGAAGGGCACAGGCGCCTGGAGCTGTACAGCCAGCTGTACGTGGGTGAGTCGGTGGGCGCCCCAGGGCCCCAGAAACCAACCCCAGGCAGGAACCAGCCCACAAGAGGCTGGGGGAGATCTCCACGCAGGCAGGTTGGGTGCTGCGGAGGATGAGACCCAGACTGGTCCCACCTCCACCCCCTCCCCCGAGCTCACTCCTCTTCTAGAAAGTCGGAGGGGCAGGGTGGTCTCTGAGGGCTCTGGTTTCTGACATTTCAGCTGTATGGTTTTAAAGCTGTGTAGAATGCTTTGATCATCGAGGTTGCTTGTAACTGTGTGGAAGGAAGGAAGGAGGGAGGGAGAAAGACCCAGAACAGTGCTGCAACATTGTGTAATTCGTGTTTGGGAGTGCACAAATGAACACATGAATTTAGATTCCTCTGATGACTTCTCTGAATTAATCATACTCTTTTTTTGTTACTTCTCTGAGTTAATATTCCTACTCAAAAATAGACCATCCCATTTCCAAAGTAAGAAGATATTTCTCCTTATAAACTTTCTCCAAAATTCTTTTCCCAGAATTTGATGATATTTGCCGTCTTTGGAAATCTCCTTTTCACTAGGCACCACAGACTGAAATCAAGCATGACAGAAGCCAAACCAAAATACTCACAGAAAGAGTCAGAATATTATGAGAAACAGCATGGCAGATCCATCCAGACCCGAATAATGTTCTCAGCCTTCTGAGAGCATGTTGAGTTCTCACCGTGTGGCAAGGGCGGGGTATAGAGTTCCTGGTCCCCTGGTCCTCTCCCAGAGAGGGGCAGGGAGTGACATTAAGGTTAAAAACAACTGCCATCAATAAAAATATAAAATTATTCTCTCAATGAAATCTTGAAAAAATATTCACTCGAGGAAATCAATAAACTATATAACCCATAACCCATTGCCATCAAGTCGATTCTGACTCATGGCGACCCCATGTGTTACAAAGTAGTACTGCCCCATAGGGTTTTCTAGGCTGTAATCTTTATGGAAACAGATCACCCAGGCCTTTCTTCTGCAGAGGTGCTGGGTGGGTTCGAACCACCAACCATTAGGTTACAGTTGCAAATCACTTGTGCCACCCAGGGACCTCATAAACTACATAGTAAAAAATATATTCAAAAACCTATAGAGACAGCAAAAATGCAAATAAAGTACAGGAGGCTCTTGAGCCTTCTTCCTAACCAGCTTGTCAGAGGACACTGTGCTGGCTCATTCCCATTTGGGCGTGAACCCCACTCCCATCGCCCCGGGACAGCAGCCCCTCCCCACCGATGGGGCACTTCCGTTCTGGTCTCACCTGCCCACCCACCTGCCAGCTCTATGTTCCCTCACTCAGCGCACCCTCTCCTTCCAGAATTGCCCCCACAGGCCAGGGTGGCCCTCCCCACTAAATGTCGCCATATGTGTGTCCTGCCTTTTGCCGTTTAGCAATCAAGACTAATTAACTTTTGGAATTCCAGCTGTCAACATCAGAGTCAGAGTCATAACCTATCCCTTGAGCTATAACAACAAATCTTGCTTTCTTTTTCATATGCTCCCAGCAGAACCAAGTTGACAGTATACGTTCAACCTCTTTTGAACCCTCTTTACGGGAGTCTGTTAATTACCTGTTTTCACAGGTGCTAAATTGCTTCTCTAAGCTGGAGATTATATGTGTGCAAACTTCTAGAGATGGATTTTAGACCCAAAGAACAGAGCCATCACTGTGGTTTGTGTCTGTGTCAATAGGTAACACGCCACAGGAGCAAACGCTCCGGGACTCTGTGGTCTCTTCCAGTTTTCTCATGACGATTTGAACTGTCAGATCCAGAGAAAGCTCTTTAATGTAAAGGTACCAATTTTGCAATCAATATGGAGAAGTTTTTTCAACAGATTGATGGCATAGTTTCTCATATAGTTTTCTTTATTCTTTCAATAAGGACTGAACTAAAGTTTATGATAAAAAATGGCAACTGTCACCTAGAAAAAAAATTGAAATAAAAAACATTAGAGTCAGGGGCATAAACACGGAGGAAGGGGCAGGCCTGAGGGCCTCTCCTGTCCCTGCAAAGAAGGTGGGAGAAACGATGCTCCCGAGGGCTCCTGGGGCCACCATAACAAGATACCACGAAGAGTGGGAATTTGTTCTCTCCCAGTTCTGGAGGCTGGGAGTCCAAATTCAGGGTGTAAGCAGGCCTATGCTCTGTCTGAAGGCTCTAGGAGAAGACCCTTCTTTTCTCCTGCAGCTTCTGGTGGCTCCATGTACATCTTGGTGTTCCTCGGCTTGTAGACGTATCTATACACGGCATCTTGACTCCGTCTCCGTGTCTGTTCTCCCCTTTCATAAAACACCACCCAGAAGGGATTAGGGCTAACTCTGCTCTGGTGTGACTTTGTTACCTTAACTGATCGCATCTTCAAAGACCCTCTTTCCAAACAAGGTCACATTCACAGGAACTGGGTTTCAACCAGCATATCTTTTGGGAGAACACAGTCCAATCCATAACAAATACTCACTTTTATTAGTTCTGAATAAGCAGGTGGTTTCCCACCCAGTGTTCCACCATGTCCTCCCGTCTTTCCTCCGTCTCCTTGTCAAAGCCCGCCCCCACCATGTGCATGGGGGCTGGGTGTCCCTCTCTCCATCCCACAACCAATCGCACCTAGCCTGCCACACACCCCCTCTGTTGGATTTTTATTTTATTATTGTTCCTTCTTTTCTCCTCCCAATCTTACTGTCTCCCTGTCACTGGCACCCACTCAACTGAATTTCACGTGTCTTTCTACCCTCCCATCCATCTCTTTAAATATACGCAAGTGCTTGAAAATTCATGGTATTGTTTTTTGGGCATCGTCATTTCTATAAATGATATCACACATTACCCTTCACTCAGCCTCATGTCTTGAAGATCTATCTGTGAAGCTCTGGCAATGCAATGCGCATGCTATTCCATTATAGGCATACATCCCACTCCATGGGCTCAGCCCCCACTGATGAAAACGCAGATTCTCCCCAACTCTCTGCAACTACCAGTAGCCCTGCAGTGGATGTATTTATGCAGGTCCCTGTTAGGTGTGTGAAGATTTCTCGTGTGTGTGTGTGTGTGTGTGTGTGCGCATGCACGTGTGCACCTGTGTGTGGGGGGCAGGGGGAGGATCACTGAGTCATGGGGTATGTTGTTGTTAGGTGCCGTCAAGTAGGTTCTGACTCATAGCGACCCTATGTACAACAGAACGAAACAATGCTCAGTCCTGCGCCATCCTCACAACATTTCTATTCTTGAGCCCATTGTTGCAGTCACTGTGTCGATCCGTCTCATCAAGGGCCTTCTTCTTTTTCACTGACCCTCCACTTTACCAAGCATGATGTCCTTCTCCAGCGACTGACCCCTCCTTATAACATGTCCGAAGTATGTGAGATGAAGTCTCCCCATCCTGGCCTCTAATGAGAATTCTGGTTGTACATCTTCCAAGACAGATTTGTTCATTCTTCTAGCAGTCCATGGTATATTCAATATTCTTCACCAACACCATAATTCAAAGCCATCAATTCTTCTTCTGTCTTCCTTATTCATTATCCAGCTTTCCCATGTGTATGAGGTGATTAAAAACACCATGACTTGGGTCAGGCACACCTTCATCCTTAAAGGACATCTTTGTTTTTAACACTTTAAAGAAGTCTTTTGCAGCAGATTTGCAGTATATACGTACTGAATTTCCCTAACTACCGGTTGATCCATCAATTTCTGAATATAAAACTCGAACTTTATTGACTGAATATCTATTTCTACCAGTACTCTATCACCGGTTGCTTTGTGTATTTCGAGGCTGTCTTGTAGTTAGGTACGTCAGTGGTCTTCTTCATTTATTGTGCCTTCTGGCAGGACATAACTCCATCTTTATTCCTTACGTCGTCCTTCATCTCACAGTTTTATGTCTGCTCCTAGCCTCGTGGTGGTTGTTAGTATTTTCCAGGTGTTTTTTCTACAAGTGTTGGTCTCCTTTTGTTTAAATGTGTCTCTTTAAGAATCTTATTGCTGGATCTTTAAACATCCAACTCGAGAATCTGGTTTCTCCTCACGATTGTAACTAATGCTCTATTAGGGTGGATTTCGGCCATCTTACCTACTGTTTCCTGTTTCCTGTGCTTTCTTTATTCACCACCTCCCCCAGCCTACCTGCCATGGATTGAGCTGAATTTTATTCCAGTGGTTTGGACGTTGTGCATTCTGCTTTTATTCCTCTGGCAACTTCTTCTTCTTCTTGTTAGGTGCCGTCGGGTTGGTTCCGACTCATAGTGACCCCACACAGAATATAAATGAAACAGTGCCCGGTCCTGCACCATCCTCACAATCATTGCTATGTTGCAGCCACTGTGTCAATCCATCTCGTTGAGGGTCTTCCTCTTTTTTACTGACCCTCTGCTTTACCAAGCATTATGTCCTTCTCCAGGGACTGGTCCTTCCTGATAACATGTCCAAAGTAAGCAAGACAAAGTCTTGCCATCTTTGCTTCTAAGGAGCATTCTGGCTGCACTTCTTCCAAGACAAGTTTGTTCGTTCTTCTGGTGGTCCATGATATATTCAATATTCTCCTCTGCACTGTAATTCAAATGCATCAATTCTTCTTCGGTCTTCCTTATTCATTGTCCAGCTTTCACATGCATGTGAGGCAATTGAAAATACCATGGCTTGGGTCAGGTACACCTTAGTCCTCAAGGTGATGTTTTTGCTTTTTAACACTTTAAAAGAGGTCTTTTGAAGCAGATTTGCCCAATAAAATACATTCTTTGATTTCTTTTTTTTCTTTTCTTTTTTAATTTTTTTTATTGTTGTAGTTTAAATGAAGTTTACATTTCAAGTTAGTCTCCCATACAAAAATTTATACATACATTGTTTTGCGACCCTAATTGCTCCCCCATACTGTGACAGCACACTCCTCCTTTCCTCCCCTGATTCTCCATGTCCATTCAACCAGCTTCTAACCCTCTCTCTCTTCCCATCTCACCTCCGGACAGAAGCTGCCCATTTAGTCTCA